TAAAAGCCCAACATTGAGGAGATAAAGACAGGGATCCCTGCGGGAAGTTGGGAGCTAGACTAACCACAGCTCTATAGCTCCTGACTCAGTAAGAGACTGTCTCAATGAATAAAGAGGAGAATAACCCAGAAAGACACCCAACACTTACCAACATACATACACACATGCAAGCTTGCCACACACACGGATTGCAAAGATATTTTAAGGAAGGTAGATGTAATACATTCTTGGCAAAATTAAAATAAAAAGCGCAAGAATTTAGGCTACCTTTTGACAATATTATTGACAATAATATTGACAGCGCAATGTAGTAGAACCTACTATTAATCGGATGAAATAAACTTTCATTCATCTATGAAAAAAAATATTGTTGAAAATCTCAATTTACTTTCCACAACTGCTGCATGGTTTGGGAAATATTATTTTGAAACAATAACAGCTTCCACACGTCAGGGAATGACTATGTAGAAGGTCGTATGCCAAACTCCCCATATATATTATCATACCTGCCGAGAAATTCCCTCAGATGAATCTTGTTATTAACCCCACATTAGAGATGGAGAAACTACAGTTCAGCGAGGCACATAATAACATCTTCAAAGAGCCGCGGTCTAATTGGTCTCCGCCCTGTCTGTCCTAAGCCCTCTCTCTCTAACACTCCCTCCCCTTCTACTGTGCAGTGTGCTTTCTGCCTCCATCTTACTGCCCTACCAACAATATTTGAAGTTACTTTCCCTCTCCTTCTGTGATTTCCTCCCTTGGCTTTTAGTATGGCAGGCTTCCCTGGGTTTTCTTCTCCTTTTGGAGATAGCAGTGCTAGTCTGCTGGACTGGTTCTTCCTTTGAATGTAAAGATTTACATAAGCTCAATTCTCGGGTTCCCTCCATTCTCCATCCGTGTTGATTACTGTCTAGTGGCTACAAAAGGCATCTGTAAGCTAATCATTTTTGTTGTTGTTGATGATCTTCAACTGAGACCTTTCGCCTGAGCCCCCAAACCCTCTCATCCCATATTCCACCACTTCTCATTGATGTCTAGAAACATGCCTTCACTGACATCAATGATTTGGTGCTAATACTTGGTCTCAGTTAATGGCACAAGCCCTTCTCAGCTGTAGCCAAGCTTGTCTCTTCTTTCTCTCATATCTGTCCTGCTTTCAAAATAAAAGTCCCATCCAACAGATTTCTCACTACCCCTGTTTGATGCCTCCACCCTGCTTTGAACCACCATTTTTTTTTCCTGGTCAGGATTTCTGCAGCAGCCTCCTGTCTTGCTTGTCTGCCTTCGTCCTACAGCTTTATCCAAATCAAGATGCTGAAATGATTTGGTTAAATGTTAGCTGAATCATTTTAATGATAGCCTCAAAATCTCCTAAGGAGTCCTGTTTTTATTAATCCTAAGGTAAAAAAAATTCTTTCCTTTACAAGGACTTCTGGCTTTTGTTACCTCTGAATTCACTTCCTGCAACTCCATGCCCCCTACTTAAGTTCCCCTTTCTTCTCTGGCTCCAGCCTCACAGCTTTGCCTAGAATATGCCTTCTCTCTTCTAAGTTGGTCTATCTTTTGGGTGGGGTCTATTTGACTATCTCATTTAACATGGCATACGAGCTTCCCATCACTGTTTAACATGACTAATTTCTAGTCTTTCACGCATGAAATTTATTTGTTTTATTACTTAAATTGCACAGCAGACAGTAAGCATCAAAAGATGCTGATGAAGTTTTAAGAACCTTAACATATCAAGAAATCAGGAAATAGTTAATGAATGAATAAAAGCGATGAGGTCGTAAATCCTAACTTTGAAATCAGGTTAATATTGGGGGATCCTTTAATGAACCCCCACTGTTTCTGAGCCTGTCTGGATACTGACAAAATCATTGAAAAGGGAAGTATCAATGCTGTGTTTTGAAACATTAAAAAGTCATTTTGAAGAAACAAATTAGGTTGGGTGAATCAAGTAGTTGGGGATGTACCTGTGACTTCTCTTCTGCTTCCTGGAGTGACATGCCATCGGTCACAGATAAGGCAACTATAGGCACTACAACAATTCTACAATAGAGAATATGATTCATTTTGTTCCTTTAGACCTTCTCGGGCTCCCAAGGTCCAACTAGACATATCTTCCCTTTTCTGTGTACCGCAGTCTCTCTTACTCCTAGTCTTCAGGGAGTACCCAAGCTAGTTCTACTTCCTACCAGCTGGATGCTGTAGAAGATTGACTTTGGCACCTCAGTTACCTCATCTGTAAACCGCAGGCAGTAATAATACTGCTCGTGACAGTGAACATATTAACATAAATGTGTTAGTATAATAGTTGCGTTTGGTCAAATCTTCTATTCATTAGTTGCTATTATTGTAATCACCACAATTTTTAAAATAATTTCATTTGGTTTCTCAGGCTGAGCATGGTAGCATATGCCTATAATCCCAGCACTAGAGACAAGAGGATGGTGAGTTCAAGGCCAGCCTAGTATATGTAGAAAAGAAGATACTTACTATTGTGCTACGGAATGAACTTCATATGAAATAATGTCGAGGGAATATTGTAAGAGATTCATAAACCCATTATCTTTTTAACTATCTACATTTAAGATATCTGCACTGTGGGTACGTGAGGGAAACCTTGGTGTCAGCCATATTATTAGTTAAAGATTTTCTATAGATTGAAAATGTGCATTGCCAATAATGTTTGTGTGATCTCCAATGACTCAGATACTGAGAACCCACATAGGGAAGCACTGTCTTCAGTTCTGTCACGGCTGCTGCCAGGATCCCTCTCTAGAAGCAGCTATTGATTATTGGTGTTTCCCCTGCTTTCCTAAGTCTCCTCCCCTGCCGCATTCCATGAATGAAGGACTAGTTACCATCCTCAGTTCTATTTCAAGCTCACAGAGAGGTTACTACGGAAGCTACATCAGGTAGCCAACAACGAACAAAGCCTGGAGAAAACTCTACAGCTCATCTTTAAAGCTATGTGGCCAATCCCTTTTCGCTTGTGGGGAAGCTGGAAGAAGATGGCTTCCCATTCAATAGAGATGGTGAAAGGAATGACAAGTGCTATGATAGAATTTTACATATGTAGAAAATAATGACCTCCCAAAAGTCTAGGTAATAAAATTTGATTGGTGTGCTTTCTGAATTGACCAACCTATCAAATTTTAGTGAGGATATGTGTCAGTTTACAAAGGAATAAGTAATGTTTGAAGTTAAGATAAGGCATATTATAATTAAGATTTTTTTCTTAAGAGATGTTGTAGATTTAATAAGGTTAACCTGGCTCCCAAAGGTCTAACATAAAAAATAAGCCTTCAGTATCTGGAGGTACTTTACAGATGGATGTGGTTTACAGTATCTTAAGAAACAACTTATCTGTCAATAATTTAAAAAAGAAAACAAAACCTCAAAAAGAAGAGACTCTTAGGTCATAATTTTTGAAGAAAAGATTTGTGTGCAAATAGATAGTTGCAAAGAAATTGCTGAGTTCAGCCAGCAAGGTTTGAAATAGTTTCTTTCTCCTTTCCCTTCCTGCTTAGAGGCTAATAACAAAGCATTAAGTTTAATACAAAGCTCAAACTCAAGGAGTTAGCATCTCTGCGATACACACAGAAGAGACTGGCAAGTGTAATGTACCGCTGGGGACTGACAGGTCGTGGCATCTGAAGACGTTTGTCTATCTTGCTGAAGAGGCATCTCTGTAGTCTCTGGAGGAAGCTCAGGGAACTGTTTGTGGCTTTCAAGATCATGTCCTGAACGGGGAGCTATCTGAATGGAAAGAGCTGCTGTGTGTGTGTCTGGGTTAGGGGTTGGTGAGCGAGACCCTTTCAGAACTGGTGGAACATCAGTGGGTTGTGGAAACTGTGGTGTATTAAGGGGGAAACTACTTCCTAGGTCTTGGTTAGGGGTTAGTTTTAAGGTAGCAATTCTTCGAGTTTGAGAATCTTGTGTGTATTCTTCTTGTAGAAATGGGGTGTTGATGTCTCCAAAGTGTGAAGGACTGGAGCTGGAGGCTGCTGGTAGTGGGTTAGTGATTTTCTGGGTGTACGACACAGTTGTGCTGGATTCCTCAGAATACACTAGTGTCTGGTTAGAGTCTTCACTAGAATGCATAGTTCCTTGGAGAGGTTTAAGGTTAGTAAAATCCTCTGTACAAGATGGAGTTTGTGTGTTAGTTACTAATGAGTCTAAAATGTCACCCTTTGATTGATTGGTTATCAAGGACTGATTGTCAAAGCTCTCCTTTCTTGCTGGTGGAAGGGGTGCCTAGATGGCCAAAAGTATTCAGAAAGAGAAATGATATATAAGAAAAAATAGAAAGAAAAGTCCACGTTAGTCATGAGAGGCACATTGTCAAACCTGCCCTGAAGAAATCCATACATACTGTGCCCTGAGCAGGCTAGACAGAGTGGTCAATGTCCGTCCTATAAGAATATTTTGTATCTTATTATCAATATTTTCTCCCAGGTTGGAAAAGATGTTTTAGTTTAGAATACATTACAAAGACATTGTTGCCACCCAAAATTTTAGAAATTACACTAAAAATGAGTGTATGTTATCTTGTCATATTTTTAGACCTGGAGGTCATTTAGACACATGGTTTTTTAGCATTTTTGTATTCAGGGTTTTACTAACATCTCAAAAGCTCATTGTTCGCCTGACTTATATTCATTCAACACATATGTACCACTGACTCTCAAACTCTGAAATCCAAACGAACAGCTGCCAGAGCTTTAATAATTAGACTTTATCTTAAAGATTACAGTAGAAGCTGGCCTGCTTTTATAAGCTTTACCAGAGAATAAAGACTAAAACAACAACAATAACAAAAACCTACCTGTGTTGAGCTTAAAACTCAAGCCCCGTGTTCACGTTACTGTGACAGGCAAAGCAAGTAGAGAAGGCAGAAGCATTTTTAAGCTAGGACACTAGGTATGAGATTTCAAGGGGGATGAGAAAACAGAGGTCTGGGAACTAGACACACAGCAGGCACCGAGCTGTATTACCTGGGTTGGTGATTTTTTGTCTTGCAGGTTTGGTCGAACGCTTCTAAAACCTTTTGCTGCAAGAGAGGAATATGTGGCATCTCCGTTCAGTGTCTCTGGATTTCGATCATTGTAAGATCTCCAAGCTTTTATTAAGGGAAAACAAATCGAACACAGAAATATCTACGTTCACTTGAATTTGTTTTTCTTTTCTTTTTTTTTTTTTTTGGTGTGTTAGAAAATGGATTTGTTTTTCCAAAACCAAAATGGTCTTGATAGAATTATAAATTCGTTATGCATAACAGTGTATGAAATCTAAATTTAACATGAATTCAATGACGTGGCTATGGATATGAGAAAAGAAAAATGTCCTTGAAACAAAGCACAATAGCTGTTCACAATATTTTTTTTTCTGTACCTGAGTCTGGAGACTGAGACTCACGCCCTGAAAGAAAAACAATGTTGAAATTAACTCGAGTGTGAAGCAAACCCAACTTCCCGTAAACATACTCAGCAGAGCACCACATGCATGGTTTTTGTCGACATTATCTCAGTCCTAAAACGGGGTACCTTAAATGTAGTAATGAGAGGTCTGAGCACTATTTTAATTTCAACAGGCTGACCATTTGTTACATATCTACATCTGAGGGAATCAATCTACAACTAGAATATATATCAAACACAATTTTCACCCACAATAATATTCCAACCATGTAATTTTAAGCTTACCGTGGCCCAAAATGGATATATGAATCCTGAACACAGAATTAAAGGATTGCAAAGAACCAGGTTGGCAAACAATGAGAATGTTTTAGAACATTAACGTAAGCCACCAGATCTGTGGCTGACTGATGCTAGTCTGTAACTGAGTATTTTTAACTGCTCTATTAGACAGTGACTAATGTTTCAATAGCTTGGTTTTGTTGTTGTTTGTGGTTTTTACTTTTACAGAGGCAGATTTATCTACTGTGTAAGATGATATTTTCATATTTAATTTTTCTGATTGTCTTTTCAAAGTCTTTATTCAAACAGGAAAGCCATCCATTCTTTTATCTTTTAGCTCATAAACTGTGGAAAATAAGTTATAGTAAATAAATTGCTTTTGGTACAAAACCACTTTGTTTAACCATATACTAATCATCAATTGTCTCAAGAACTTCTTATATGACTGTCTGAGGGAATCGGTTTGCACTGACTGTTTGGTCGATTGGACCCATAAAGCCTTGATCTTGGAAAGGATCACGGGAGTCCTTTTCTCATTCATTAAATATTATCATACTGAGGATGATCCAGTGATCCAGTAAAAATAACTTTGTAGAATTATTCATGACATATTTACTGGGTTCTATACCTAGAGTTTAAAGGAGGCCTGGAATTCACCATCTTATTTAGCTGAAAGACAGTTGCACCTCTAGAGAAAGCTAATGTAGTGTAGTAATGCACCTGTAGGATTCTGCTTTGGGGGCACTTAAGGAAAAAGATTAACTGACCACTAGGGTGTTACACACCATGGACAAAGAATAAATCTAGGATTTGAGAAGGGCAATGGGTGAGGAAGCAGTGTCAATCACGATTATGAGTATTGAAATTGTTTGCTTGAGGATAGAAGTTTATATTACTCTTGGTTTGATAACATGTGCTGGGGTGAAGCACTAGAAGCCATGTTTGTGGAGGTGCCAGGATGTAGATGAGGTAGGAGAGAAAGGGTTATGGAGTTAACTTATAAACACTTGGGATACATATCCTCTGATTGATAGTTCTAGAGGGCTAGCTCTGTCTCCTCACAACAGAGACCACACTATGGGGTTATAGTAACTATGGGGTTGTAGAGAACACTGTACCTAGATTCACCCATTGGATATTGACAATCATAAACTCTATGGGCTGGCCCACAAATGGATCATCAAGATGAGGCCGTACTTTAATAAAGCTTGAGTTGATGATGATTTTAGCATACGTGTCAGTGAATGTTGAATTCTCTAGCAATGTTGAAACATACATGTCCTGCCTCGTAAGTTCTCATGAAAGCTGCTACACAATGAACTTGGGCATAATGGATCTTGATTCTTTTATTTAAAATGTAATTAAAATTTCTTTAAAGGGTTTATGTGTCAATATATCCAAAAGAAATATGCTTTCAAAGTTAAATTAGAAATTCAAGGCACTACTAAAAATCTTATTTCTAGTGATGTAAAATAGGTAAGAGATACTAATTGCTCATATCACTGAAGTTTACTTAACTTCCCTTCCTATTGCCCTTTCCCCTGGGAACAGGGAATTGAAGCACAAGTCTGGCACATGTGAGTGTCTCACTACTGAGCCACATCCTATCCTTCACTCTGGTTTTATTATTTTAAATTTTGAGGCAGTGTGCTAGATTTGCCTTAAACTTGCTGGATGGTCCAGGCAGCCTTGAACTCTAAGTAGCTGGGGTCATAGATTATGCCATCAGGACTGGCTCAGTCCTGACTGTGAAATATTTAGTCTTTCCCAACAACTTGAATGGTATGGAATTGCTTGTAGAACAGTTTGACTCTCTCAAATGCATTCTCTAGTTCAACCCAATGTTCTCTCTTGTAGGTTATTTTTATAGATGATAATAAACAGGAATTGTTAATGTGATGTGTTGGTTTGAATAGGAATATTCCCCCACAGTCTCATGTGTTTAAATGCTTGGCCCACAGGGAGCAGCACTATGAGGAAGTGTTGGTCTTGTTGAAGGAAGTTTGTCACTGTGGGGGCGGGCTTTGAGGTCTCAGATGCTCAAGCTGTGCCCAGTGTGGTACATAGACTCCTTCTGCTGTTTTCAGATCAAGATATAGAACTCTCAACTCCTTCTCCAGCAGCATCTCTACCTGCTTGGCATCATGTTTCCTGTCACAACGATGATGGACTAAACCTCTGAAACTGTTTGACAGCTCCAGTGAAATGTTTTTCCTTATAAAAGCCACTATGGACACGGTGTTTCTTCACAGCAAGAAAACCCTAACTAAGACTAACTAATGACGGTAAGTCATTCTCTAGCATGTGCATCAGGGATCATGAGTGGGATCTTAGTTGAAATGTCAAGGAACTTCACAGTTCAGGCATTCCTATTATGTGATGTGCCTTCCTTCTTTTTACCTCTCACTCTCATCCATCTAACGCAGCTAGAGAAGAAGTAAGTCCATGCTTCTACACTACCTTCTCATATTCATCCACGCATGAACAAACATACTCAGAGTGGCTTTTAAATCCAAGTAAGATCAGATTATATACATTACAGTGTTTTGGGTTTGTTTGCTTTGTAAAGAAGGACAACATGAGGCTCCTTAGTTGACATTTAAACTTGGACCTTGAAATCCATTTGAGTTGGGGAAGAATATGGGAGTCATCTTTAAAAGGTTTCTTGTTTGTTTGTTTATATTTTCTTTAATAAGGCTGGGTAGGACATCCTCAGTACCAACTGACCACTAAACATGTGTTTACAGAAGACCGGAACACGGAATGGCAACTGAAATTGTTTAGAGAGCCCATCACTTTCCTCCTTCTGTTATTTTAGCTAATGAATCTTAGGCTTCAACAATGTCAACCAATTAAATAACCAGTTACAAGAGGGATGAGCTCCCCTGTTAAGGGTCTAGGGACAGGTTGGACTCCAGCTGATCTTCCACAGATGCAGACTTTCCAGATGAAGCCTGTGTCTCAGGTAGAGGGAAGACATTACAGACATTGAGTAAAAAAGAGAGGTACCTCAGTGGATGCTGAAATATCACATCCTCAATTAGTTTTTGAAGGACATTTTTATCTGTGGGCTCATGGTTATCTAAATTAATCAAGGTTCTGAAATACTCTAGAGCACGTATTAGGTAGATGCAAGAAGGTCTGTTTCCTGTGTGCAATCTTTTGGGGAACAACCAAATTAATTCTTGAATAAACGGATGATATCTTAATAAAGTACCATGTTACTTTAGTTCATGAGATAACAAAAACTTAAATAGTTAACACTTGCAGTTAATATATTTTTGGCAAGTGACTGATGCTTTTAATTATATTTTTAAATGTTTGTTTTTAAGAAGGTATCAGTTTCCTTTGGCCTTTTATTTTTAGAACAAAACCAGAAAGGGTAGAAGCTATTCTTGGGATTAGAAAAAAATAAGATTGAGTGGGGGACTTGAAAGACATTTAAAACCTCTGTCCGCATTCCAACAAGATGATTCTGGAAAGAGAGAGGTGAGGTGAAGCCATTCAAATGTGACATTGTGAGTTAGTGACGTTATACCTGCAGCCAATAGGTTTGGAGAACTTTGAACTCTCTTCACAGATGTTAACGTAACAGACATGGCGGCACGTTTGCGAGCACACCCACCGCTATCTGGAAGCAAAAACATGATATGGCAGAGGCCAAGGCAAAACAGAGAAAGCACATGCGATGTCATGCATTTTAAGTGAGATGTGTCAGTCATCCATGAGAAAGATGAACAGCTGAGCATTAGTAATCATGGAATACACCTGCGATTTTCACTCCCACCCCCAAACTAAAGAAGACGAATGAGACAACGGTGAGCCGCCAGGGGTCTGCTCACAGAGAGATGGCGATGCTCTCAAATGCAACAGAAGGTTTTATGTTGAATGCTCAATGCTTGTTATCTAATGAAATCCCAGACACAGAGCTCGATTTTGTTTACACCCTTTGTATTTAATGTACACTAAGTCTAGAAACAGCACTGTTAGCTTTTGGAGTTATGGGTTATCTGTATTTTAGCCTCCAGTGCCATGTTGTAATATGCACGCATATAAATCATTTAAATTTACTCTATTGTACTTATGTTTGCTAAGGATAATCCAGGTGGTTCCTGAAGAAAATCAGGCGTGAGTTATTTTGATTGAGTAATTCTGGAAGTAATATTTTTCAGCTGAAGTATTTTCATACTCAGATGTACAGGTCATAAAGAAACACATAACAATATGCAATTTCATGTCTTTCTAAAGGTCTGAAATTGTTATTCTAACTGACATCAAGAGCAGCCCTGGTAGACAAGTGTTGAAATGAGCATACTTTTGAAAACAAAGCCATTGCCCTTATAGTTTTGAATTGTAGCTATGACAAAATCTATATATGTATGCTAAGAAAATCAAAGTGTGAAGTAAAATGCGTGCGACGGCATCAGCCATTTTCTATGCTGTGAGAAGCTGAGACTTCTAAATTTGGAAGACAAGACTCCAAGACTGAAAGGTTAGCGTTCTATTTCTGAATAGACTCTGACTCTGCTCCCACATTCCTTGGTAATATAGCATGTGCAATAGTTTTCTGCCCTTCTCCTCCTCCTCGAATCAAAGTAACCTCAATTCTTTCTTTGGAAGTGAACATACACAAAAGCATAGTGTAACTAACAATATGAGACTATAACTGTGGGGGTACAATTATTGTGTCTTATCACATGCATTTCTTATTATTTCTTTCATAGGGAAAATAATCAATTAAACACGAGAGAATTCAAATTAGTAAATATAGTTGGAATTATGAGTGAGTTAATTACTGGTAAAAGTCATAAGGCGTGAGGTCAATAGAACACAAAATTGGTGTAACTCTTCTAATATAAAATCTAACTTATAATTATAATTTTTAATGCAGAAATCATCAAACAGGAAACCTGACTTGAAACACAAAATGAAAATAAGCCAAATGAATAAAGATACTATAGCTAGGAACCAAAAGAGAAAGACACAGATGGTAGAAAATTAAAACTGAGAATACATTCAGCAGAGAAGAGATAGCTATTTTCAAATTTGCTGAAATCCTCTGAGAGACAAGGTGTCTAGGGAAATGTACATACTGTCGCTGGATACAACACAGGATCTAGTCACTACTGGCTGGCCTAAGGGCTGGTTAGTGAAGGATGTCAGAAGTGAAAAGGGACATCACTTTTAGAAGGATTTTATTTTCTGGCTCTTTCAACTCTTAGTGTCGGAGATGAAAACAGGCCAGCTCAGAATGAGAAGATACAGAGTCATGGCTTAAGCTCAGCACGTTTAAACTGTGCTGAGGTGCCCTGCGTCATCTCTGTGAATCCACAGGCTTTTGGAGCATACTGAAAAACTTTGAGAAAACAGCAAGGCACGGAAGTTTCATTAGAATTTCGATATGATATTACAGGCTATATTATATGTATTTTGATCATACTATGTCTCTAAGAACTAGGTGGGTGGTTGCAATGTTAAGAAGCAAGTGCCCTCTGAAAGTCATTTGGAAAGTCATTTCAGTGAACAAGAGGAGTTATGTACAATTTCATTTCATGCTCTGAGAAATCTCCCTGGGCATGACAGGCTTGCACATACCACTATTAAGTAATTGCAGTTCCACTGTAAGTAAATTACTGTTTTTCTTTCAATTCACATGTATTATTTTGTCAAATGACTTTTAAATCTTTAGGACATAAATACTTATTATATTGTTTGCACCGAACTGCTTAATAAATAAAATTATTAGATGCTCCTTTAGGGCTTAGAAGCAGCATGAAAAAAAAATACTCAGACATTGTCAATGTGAGACAAAGAATTGTGGGAATCTTCAGGCTAACTAAATGGAGAGTTTCTGCTAATACTTATTAAAATGCTTATTTTCAAAAGCTGAGCTTTCTTGAAACTGGTAGAATAGGCAAACCAGTGCTTTCTTGAAATTGGTAGAATAGACAAACCACAAGAAATTAGTATGCAGTATTTACTTATATTCTGTTATTTTATGTTATTCTTTGAAGATGTTTTTAGGGACTCAACATGAGGATGCTATCTCTGATGTTTAGTCCATCTCTGAAGCAGCCTGGTGCTGGCCTTACCTTCACAGTCATCCATGAACCACTGACTGGTTGAGCATCCTTTCATGGAGCTTTAAGATGTCTGATGGCCATTTGTACTGCTAGAAAACACTTACTTACATGGGTAACCTAGTATCTACTCTATGAATCACTGGATTAACTATCTTTCCCCATTCTGATGATTGTGAATTGTCATGTATTAGAAAATAATGGGTCACAATTGCTGAATGAAGATGGGACATAGTTTAAACACCCTAAAATTAAACTCATTCTCCTTGGATAGTTCATTGTGTATTTGATTAAGAATTTTTAGATCTTAGTGACTGGAAAATATGGGGGGTTTTTGGCCTGTATATGATATATACATACTGTTCATCTGGGTGCACACCACTATGTGTATGCTTTTGGAGGCCAGAGGTCAATGGTAGGAGTATCCCCATGTCTTTTTCCATCTCATATTTTTAAAAGAAAGGGTCTTTCACTATGCTTGGAGCTCCCTGACTAGGACTGCGTAGCCTGTCCAGGGAACCCCAGGAGCCTCCTCTCTCTGCCTCTTACACCGGCGCTGTGGGTGGTGCTTGCTTCCATGCACAGGTTTTTACTGGGGTGCTTGGGGTTTGAACTCAGGTGTCTATGACTGAGCAGCAAGCACTTTACTCAACTGAGCTACTGCATCAGACCTGGCATATAGAATTTTAAAAAAAATACTATATATCATTAATAACAGATAGATAGATAAGGTGAGCTGATTTTATTTATTAATTACATGGGAATCAATTATTCCTTAATTTTGTTATACAGTGACAGTAATTTCAGTTGCCTAAAGCAGTATCGACCTATCTTCTAACTAAATAGCACATACATACTTGACATTTGTACTTTTTAAAGGAGCATGTTTTTATAGGGACATTGGAACATTACTTTGGAATTTTAAACGGAGGGTTTTAGCTTGTCACTTGCTTGTCTGGAGATACATTTACCCACACAGGCAACCCCATTTCATGCACATTTGTGTCCATCTAGAGTCAAGATCACGCCTCACAAACGGAAGGTGGTTGTCGTGGTTTCTGTTGCTGCTCTTCAGCAGCAACCTGGTCCAGACCAGTGAGTTAATGTGGGAGCAGAGAAGTTAGAAGACTACTGTTAGGATGCAATTATAGGAGCAGGAAGACCAACTGTTGAATATTTTGTATAGAAGCAAGGTATGTTCCGTATAATTATATATGCATATCTATTATAGTATGTTATGACAAATAGGAAAATCCTAATTTGGGAAGCCATGTGGAACTTAAATCTTTAAAGGGGATCCCTCTGAACAGTGAGTAAACCTCACTTCTTCACGTGGACCATCTACAGGAGTGACGCTACACTCGTGCCACCAGGCTCCTCACAAACCATTTGCCATTGTACATACAAAATGAGATAAGAACCATCATTAGGCAGAGGTCACGGAAGAAAGCAAACCATCTCCAAGCACCTCTACTTGGTTCTCTGTGAAGGTCATCAATTCTTTCTTCAACACCCTTGTCTTGTCCATTGCTCCAAACATCTATCTACACATGGCCTCCACTCTCAGGAGCCAGCTGGCACAATGTTCTCTGAGGCCAGTTTGAGCAGGTTTCAGCTGAGCAGATGCCACAGGGAGGTGAACTGGGCACACGTCTCCACACTTGATCTAGGGATTAAATACTGGCTCTAACTAGCTAGTTGTTAATCCTTCTTCTAGACACTGATACAAGGAACTTGTTGAGAAAGAATGTCCTGGGTTTCCTTTATGCTCTGTTATGGGGTGGCTGGCTGAAACAACTTTCCAGCCATCAGCCATGATACAGTCATAAGATTTCAATGAGAGAGTTATTTTCTTTAATTACAGTATATCAGACTTTTTGAGGCAATGAGGATGAAGGTGAAATTATAAGTCAAATTCATCCACTATGGAAACAAAATGATGTTTTATACATATTTATCAGGTATTTGTAAACTACTTTGCAATTAAAATCTATATAACAGTATTCAGAGGCATTTGTGTTAAAATATTTAGGGATAATGTGTACAAGTCTAAAAATAACATGCTTATGGTTTTATGCAAGCTGTGATTATGAAGAATGAATTGAGCTCATTTTATGTGAGGCTTTGGAATTCCTATCTGCTCACTTTGTCAATATAAACAGTTTGTATATTGGAAAAGTTTAAATATTGTTCACCAGAGCAACTTGCTTTTGAGCCTAACATATTTTAAGCAAGAGATTTCAAATGTATGACTATAATTTCAAGCAACTTTAAGAATTACTTGAAAAAAAATACAACCATAAAGGGCTGGAGTCATGGATTAGTTGGTAAAGAGCTTTTCCTATAAGCATGGAGACCCCCATTTGACCCTCAGAACCTACGTTTAAAAAGCTGGGCACCGTAGAATGTGCTTATAATTTCAGCACAGGAGTTGTGGAGACAGAGGGATACCTGGGGCTCAGGGGCTCTTCTAATTGTAGAGGTCCAGGTCAAATGAGAGGCCCTGCTTCAAAAACAATACAATTCCTTATGGCTTGAAATACAGGGAATGATACTGAAATGTACCCTTTGGTCTCTCCATACACACCCACTGATATACATGTGTACCCCTCCCTACATGAGGTCATAGACATATACATAGAGAAGAAGAAAATATAACAAAAGATTAATAATAGCAGGTAACAAAAAATTTCACTTCGGGCTGTAACCTTGGGATGCAATGATAAGACAACATAACTCTCCCTATGCTCAGAAACTCTGCAATACTTTTATGATCAATACAGCACTATGCTAATGTAGGACCAAGGTGACTCTTAAAGAACCAAGCTAGAGAGTTAAAAAAAAATAACCATTGGAGATGGTGTACCTGTATTCATTTTCACCTTGAAGGGTTTGTTATTAAGGTCTTCAGTTTTCCTGCAAGGGAAAAAAAAAGAGGGATGAGAATCTGCTCGCTGGCACATAGAACAGAATGCTGTATTTGTATTTTTTGGTTTCAGTTTACCTATAACAGCGCCTCTCAGTCCTCTTAATGCTGTGACTTTTTAATACAGTTCCTCCTGTTGGGGTGACCTCAAATCATCAAATAATTTTTGTTGCTAACACTCATGGCTGTTATGAATTGTAATGTAAATATCTGTGTTTTCTGGTGGTCTTAGGCGACTCCTGTGAAAGGCTCGTTTGACCCCCCAAAGGGGTCCTGACCCACAGGTTGGGAATGTAACCTATAAATTAACACCACCTTGTCATTAATCTTATTTAAACCAAAGTTTAATAAGGAGGGCAGAATTTATAATTCCATTCAACTTAGAGGTCAATCATTCTCGTATTATGGTAATAAAGTTGTATTTTCATTTAATGGTAATCAGTAATGTTTGAAAAGAGAGACCTACCTTCCTTCTTTTTCTCTGGTGTTGTTTCTTTCTTTGCTATAGACTCTTAATAGCCTCATTCAAATCAAGCATATACCAGAGAATTACACAGCCTAAATTTCCATTTTAAGAAATTTAATTTCTATGCCCAACATATATGAGAGCCTGGGATTCAAACTCCATATACAAAGGAAGTTTGTTTGTTTGTTTACAATTACCCATCCTGTTCTACAAGGACAATTCATTATTAAGTATCTTTTCCAAAATATCAAAAAAAAAACAAAACAAAAACAAACAAACAAACAAACCACTGCTATCTTTATCATTACCTTAGACAGGGAGATCAAGTTTCACAGGTCAATGTACTTTCAAAAAGTCCTCAAAGGAAAGTTTATCATAATACATTTTGCTTTTTAGTTTTCAATGTACACAAGTAAAGAGACACTATTCTGGGTGTTGTAACATTTTTTTCTAGACTGTGGCGTGTTTCTAAGCACTGGTCTGCGCAGCCTTATTGCCTGTATGGTAGGGATGCCAATGGACCCGAGGGAGGAGGCAGTGGTCTGCGCAGGAGCTTTGAGACTGTTCCTCCCAACGTATTTATTTTAATCTCTCAGTAGCAAAGCTCTCAATATGTTCCCCTTAAATGGACAAAGTAAATGGAAAAGTTGCCTCGAGGGATGTCTGAGAGCACAGCTGAGGCTACTTCTAAAACAAGAAGGGGTAAACAGTCCCCAGAGCAGGAGACCTATAAGGACATTGCCCAAACTCGACCTCACCGTCCCTTCTGAACACGGCAACATGTTATGCCGACGACTGAGTCACGTTATAGTGGGACATGAGGAAGGCAGTGTTCACAGCAGAATAATATTCGCAGATACAGAGACCACTATGGAAGGAGGGCTGATGTCAGAACACAAACGCTGCTCATTTCTAAACCAATGTTTCTACACCAGGTAGAGAATTAATACCAACAAGCGTCACTAGAATTCAATGCAGGTATTTGCGAAACACCAGACTCTCAGACAGCAAAGGAGGACTGCGTAGGACAAAGGAAGGCGCCACAAATCCTTGGGCTGTTCATTTTTAAAGGGATGTATTCTCTTACCTCTGAGGGTGATTTGTTAGTTTTTATTTTAACTTTATATTGTTTTAATTGTCAAAATGTTAAATGACTTCCTAATCAGGCAAGACACTTTGAGGTTCTTAAAGACAAGTCTTGGTGTTTTCATGCTAAGAACAACCTGAAACCAAAAGGCTTCTTGGGTGACTAATAAAAATGCATGATTCTGTCTCCCTTGTTTGCACAAAAGCCATTAACAATTCTACTACTGAGAACTCTATTTAAGCAAATTAAACTACAGAGAACCCAATCTCTCTTTTGTTCTGTTCTGAAAAAGTGTCTTTGATTGTACTTGCATAACGGGCACAGATTATTCTGGAAGGCATCAAATTCCTAGAGTGTTTGTGTGCAGCTGAAGATGACAGCACTTCAAGTATTTTCTTAAATTGGAATTGAACTGGGGCCAAGATTATGACAATGGACTATGAATTGGAAATCATTTACCAGAAGAAGGCAGTCCACAGAACAAGAGCCTGGCATTAAATAATTTTTATGGGTTGTATGGGCCCCAGATTTACTTAAATCAGTTCTTTAAAAAGCTGATAGAACAAAGCAACTCAGGCTAGGCATGGCAAAGAGTTTGTTTTACTTAGAGGTGGGACGAACTTTTGTTTTCAGTTATGTGTATGGCAATGGATTGGACTTCTTATTAATACTTCAACAATGACATGCTGTCTCATCGAAAAATCTAATAAAATAAAGACAGTTGTACTCAATGGTCTTTCCCTTATCATTATTGCTTTGAGGGACAGAGTTGCCTTTGTTTTAAAGGTGCGTCGAAGACTAGGCTGCGATTTTTCTTTTGAGTTGGGGTCCTGAGAGGTTGGATCACACCTGTATATCAGCACAATCGTGGAAACAGACATAATTATGCTTGAGTTTGTTATTACTATTATTATTGTGATTAGTTATCGTAAGCCAACCATTCTGAAGAAAAGCAAAAACAACATCTGTCCTCCAGTTTTACCTAGTAATTCTGTGTAAGTTATGTTATTTTTATAGAACTGAGTTTAACCATCAAGGTCATAGACCAAGTGAGAGAGTTAAACTTGAGCTGAAATTTAAAGTGATCTGGAATTTAAAGTGGCTTTGTTTGTTTGTTTGTTTGTTTTCCAATAGAAGAGTTTTAATCACCCAAACTGATATATTAGGAAGTAATATACTACGGGTGGTTACATATTATTTAGACGCAAGTACACAGATAGTCTACACTGTGGGAAAACACTGTGGGACATTCGAGTGTTTGGAGATGTATTTTGAACATGAGGATGAACAGATGCTGCACCTTAAGGATCTACGGCAGATTCTACCTTGCACTATATATGTGTTCTGTGAAATGAGCACTTCCTGTGTTCCCACTGTCTGGTTAAAAGACCCCAAGAGATCAATGCCCTTTCCTTTTTCTCTCTGACTGTGGCATGATGAGAAGTATTCAAAACTGCTAAATTAGTTCACCTCTCAATCCCTTCTCAATTCCAGCCAAATGGCTTAATTCAGGTTGACATTTAGCATTACTTACTTGGGAGAATTATGTCAACATGCAGCTTTGAGATATTTATAAGAAAATACCAATCAGTTCACTTTGTCCTTTATATTTCCTGGGTTTTGAAAAGTAAAACACACACCTTTAACTGCCTTTCTGAACACTTCATCTAAATTGTTCCCACATATGAGACATCTGCCTCCAAGTGGGTGGGTACAAAACTCATCACAGTAGATAGTAAGGGCAGGGTGTTCCCTGCCTAAGAATGCTGCCTTCCACTATTACTGAGCTAATGGGCCTTGGCAATGGGCTCACAGTATTAATAAGGCAAATTAGACACCGCAGTGGAGGTCAACACATTCAACATCATTTTAAAAATGAGGAGAAATAATTACAAGTACTAAAGAGGCAAAAGGTCACACAGAGCCATAAAAATAGAGATTTTCATAAGAACATATATCATCCTTTTAAATCATATTAATGTGCCTGATACTTGGAAAAAAATTCTAAAACAAAATCATGGGTTGAAGGAATTCTATAATTATTCTTTTTGGGTTGTCACCATGTGAGCTATTCAAAACACAAATTTTCCAAAACACACATTCCCAAAGACATATTGAAGAAAGAAGTCAACATTAGGCAGGTAAGACTAGCTGATAATTTTCTAATGCTTCAAAGTCAGCATCAGGGGTGGAGGAGATGGCTCAGGTGGTAAACTGCCAGGTGCAATAACACCACGGCAGACTGTTGAGGCTCCCAGGCCAGCCGGTCTTATCCACTGATGAAATCTAGATTCAGTGAGAACCTGTCCTTAGAAAGGTGGACTATAACTGAAGAGGATACCAATGTTAACCTCTGGCCTCCATAGACAGATGTGCAGAACACATCAGTACACACATGTGCACAAATGCTTATATCACATATAAGTAGATACACACACACACACACACACACACACACACACACACACACACACACAC